TCGAAACAATAGAACCTAGTGATAAAAATATCCAAACACAATTTTACTAACCACATAAGTGCGGTCAGACTGACAGCTAGTGGTCTCCCAGCTTGGCAAGTTAGTTTCTAAAGGGGAACCATAACCAATACTGTATATCTCCCCAATTCAGTTCCCCTCCACTTGTTCATAGGAAAGTATGACTGATTACAGTCGCAAGTGCACGCAAAAAACAACCTGTTTAGTTCTCTCAAGACATAAACAAGGTATTTTTCTAGTTTTAGGTAATTCGAGTAATGAAGGGCTGGTGTGTTTGAAAAAACTACAAAGGTAGTGAATCAGGTGATACCCATAGGACGATTCGCAAGCCGGACATGTGAACATGAGAAAATTCGCGTCTTTGGAGAAAATATGCTAAAATGTATTATTTGAGGAAAATAGTTCTGGGCGTACGGTGGCGAGAAAACCGAGCTATTAATGATGCTACGTGACATGAAGGAATCCCTCATTTCCAGAAACTTTACTGGCTTCGAGACAATCGCATTTATTTAGCCGCGTTGTGTATTTCTATTCCTACTCAGCTGAACTCGTCTTACCGGCAAAAAAGTGTACATCAGAGACCGGAAGTGTAGTAAGATTAATCGCTTGGGGGTGTTCTCATTGCTCTGCCTTCAGAACATTCAATTAGGTGGTTTACACGAATCACATGGTGTTCTGAGCACGTGTCAACCGCATAATCACAGGGTGATTGGCGTTTTCTCCAGCAGGTGTGCGAGCGAGTTCCGAGAGCAGTAGCGCCTATAGTAAATCCCAATCACACCCGTACACTGCAAAAGATGTGTACCTAGTAATTAAGAAATTAGAAGGCAATCATACACGTTTCTAATCTTGCACGAACAGAACAACGAATACGTGGGAAAAGCCAGCGGACCAAAAAGCTCTTGGATATCACCAAATTGAACGGAATCCATGACTGGTGATTCGCGACAGATTCGTGACTTTCGGACGAATTCCACAGCTAAATAAACCTGTAGGCTTGCACAAAAACGTTTGCCAAACAAGTTCCATGTACTCGCTTTCTCTCGCCATCTCACATTTGGCACCTAAGCTGGCACCTCAAGGTCGCGCTCACCAAACGCACCGCGCATTTTTTCCTGCGAATGAGGAACAGTGGTAGTACCACCTGCTCAGTTGTTCGTAACCCAACCAACCAAATAGATGCGTTCGGTAATTGTATGAGTGTTCTAACTGCAAAGACACGGACGAAAACCTGCAAACTAATGAACGCAGCGAGGAGGCATCCCAGCGACGGTCAGGGTATATGAAACGACTGATATAAGCAGTTTCAGAGTTGACCATACTGACGTGAGCTTCGGTTCGGTTGCCGGAACCAATGATAAGTGGTAGCGGACCGGACTGGCAGACGGACTGGTTGATGATGGATACCACATAAAACACACGTTAAGAAGTCCCAACTGATCATAGTAACGAACAATTAAACTTAGGTATATTTGCAAGACTACGTCTATCCCAAGAGATTTCTTGAAGTGATTCTGAGTAGTTATCATTGCAACACCAGCTACTTCAAAAACGCAGTAAGTAGAATATAAAGTTCTTTAATTTGGCGCTCCCCGAAATTTTATGTTTTAAACTGGCATGACGACAAAAGGAAACAATCGCATTTCACCCGTCAAACTATGTTCCACAACCCCGCTTTAACCATAGATCGGAGAAAGTTTATTTTTATTTCGGCTTCCAGATACTTTTGTTATAAACACAGACGTACCATAGCGAATGATGCACTCAAATGACAGAGGATAACATAGTCTGGCGACAAAACATTTTTTGTTTCTTTGCTGAATGGGGTCTTTTTTGTTGTGATCAACAGTCTATATGTAAGGCTAAAAGACATGTGAGGGTCGCCACAAACGGACAAAGGTAGGAAATAGGTCTTTTTGTCCAAAAAACCACGCGCTCATCACCACGTGACAGCCGTTGTAAGTGCCGTAGCATCTCCTGTAAGTTCCAACTCGGCGGCCTAGCCACGGCGGCAGTAAATACGCAAGCCGGTCCTCCTTCACCTTCCCTTAGCACTGGGAAAGCATTGCACACAGACTTTTGGAATGTCTTCTTTACGTGGAAAACCATAGCCTAAACTGGACTATCAAGTTGACATTGCTTGTCCTTCGGAAATGTAGTTCATGGTGCATCTTTCCGCTGACTGCACTATGATGGACGAAGTGATTACTCATGCCTGTATGATGTTGCTCTTGCCCACAGAAACAGTAAGTACGACGTCCTCAGAGTTATTGTTGTCCAGGATTGCGAAAGATCATCTCTGACGTTCGCAAATCTGACTAACGCGAACCCTTCAGTGGATGAAGAAGCTGTAGCTGATACAGGAACCAAGCTCATTGTCACAATCCAGAGTTGCCGAATCGGTGGCATGTAGATCTTTTGACCGAGTGGTGTTATTTTATAGGATAACGGTGAGCGGATAGGCAACTAGCATAAAGCGATTTGCATTTATTCTCATAAGGCCCATGTTCATGGTTCTCAGATAAACACGGTGAAAAATTGAGAATGCTCACCGTCATCAGTCAGCGGCACGACGCGAAAGCCGCGATAAACGACCTTGATTGCTACTGGCAACGTTAAAAAAACTCGGGGGGTAAGGAATTCAGCAAGTACTGCGCAAACGTTTGAAAAAAACTTCAGGGAAAAGGACATATTCACAGGTTTTGCAGACACAAGAAATTCAGTTATACGTTCGGTCTTGTTACTGAATAGCGCCAATAATGGCAAGTTGTCGGTATTGCCATCTAGTGCCATCAGAATACGGTAGCCCTGAATTAGCCACTAGAAAGGAGAGAAATCGACTGTTTCAAATGTAACTACAGCAAGTTACCCCTCAAAAATTCATTCAAGTTGACTGACCTGTGACAAACAGTAGTGACACACTCATCAAATACACTCATTTGCACGCCAATTCGGTTTCCACGGGAGACAGGCGAACCTCCCTCCGGTTTACGAGATTTCTTGAACACAATACCAACGAAAGCACGAGGCGGCCCTTGTGAAGCACATTTAGTTGAAGAATATCATAAATCGATTAATTGAGCTGGGATTTAGTTGAGTCTCCCAAGAAAGCTAAATTGGTTCACCTTACCAGTAGTAAATGTTTAAAACATCAGTACCGTTTGATCGTATGAATGGGGAAAGGCATGTATTTTCTGGTTTTTATCGACGACTTGGCTGGTTCGTGAAAATTACTTAAATGCAACTGTAAAAGTGACGTAACGCCTTTTCCAAATAGGCTTTCTGCCTTTAGTTTTTTGGAGAAGTACTGCGAGTTTTCCGTATGTATGGGAAGAAAAATCATTTAAAAAATCTTCGGCTGGTGTTTAGGTATTCCCACGAAGACTGAACTGGAATACAAATGAATCTCGCGAAAATTGGTTTCAAGTAGAACATACGGTTGACAGAAACTCGGGGACTCCGCCCTCCTGGTGAGACCGAAAAAGGGTGAAACCGGTAGTGGGCTGTAGAAAAATTTTCAGCAACTTTATGGGTAGTTTCTTCCGCAAAAATAGTAAGACACCTTCGAAATGCCAGCAAATTTTGTGAACCTGTTAACATCGGTGTAAACCCGACAACACTGGCGTTATGTTCGCTCATGTCAATCGAGTTGTTTTGGTGCTGGAAGGGATGCTAGGGAAATTTCAGTAGATGCTTTTAGCGGACTTCACTTCTTTGCCCAAAAATTGAAAGTCAATGTCCTGTGACTGGGAGTGGTACGCCAGATACGAGATCGTGGGTAACATGGATAACGATGAGGATAAGCGAATATCGAGAGTATCCTCAATTTATTTCAGCACAAAACGCGTGATAGAAGCGGTCAAAGTCCAGGTATGTTCCCCTGACGGTCCGAAAACAAAAGACTGTCGAAGACAGCAGGGCGAAGATGAAAACGATAATAAGAGACAAAATAACCCAATCCAAATGAAATGATGTGGTTGACAAGTGCGCTCAGTTATTCACACTGTGCACTGCATACAACCGTCAAGCCACTACGTCTATCGTTAAAATACATCTCCAGCCAACCAAGTTCTCTTCAATGAGAGGCTAGGTTTCGGGCGATTTATGGCAGCAGAAAGCTTATCACAAGGAACAAAAGGACTTCAGTCTCTCGAATTCAATTATGAAAGATAAACTTTGGCTTCATTACCCTCTTGAAGGACGGAAGTTACAAACTCTTTCTGGACAGTGGTCATTGAATGAGAGATGGTGATCTGCTTTATGGAGTTGAACAGCCAACCTTCACTACTATTCCTCAACCCATGGATGCTCTGCGACGTGATCGACAATCTTTGAAAGACAGCAACGTTTGATTTGACAACTTAGGATCTGGGACAGTACAGCTTAATTGATAATCACAGAAATGGGCTGTCACTAAGCGACACGCCTGACCAACACGATGAGCCCAGGTTCCGGTGCGCTTATGAGGATTCGGTGCAATGCGTGCAAACCATGGAACTCCTCCTTTGTATGGCGGGTTTAGCTGGCCGTCAGCAACGCACCGATGTGTCAGTGGAAGAATGAACTGGTCAACATTTCAATGAAAACAGAATCCCACGTTCTTGGGGAATCATGTGCAAGCTCTTTGTTGACAGTAGAAGCTGCTAGTGAATCACCCGAGGATTTGGCTTCCTTTGGATGAGTGCAGCGAAATACACTAATTTGCATACCGATTTGGTTTTGACGGGACACTCACCAGGATCCCAGCTGAGTAGCGTATTACGTCTATACCTGAGTAGGTCTTCCATTGCATCGAACTCAGAAAACAATCAAGACTGCGTGAACAACTGCATTAGAATAAAGATGTGCCAAACGGAGCTTCTCGAGGAAGACTACACCACATAATCGGCAGCATGGTACACACAATCGAACCCCTATATTTTAAATACGCCAAACCGGCAACATGGGTAAATAATCGTGAACTAGGATTAACGAATACTCACCGGCGCGATACCGACTCCGACGAGAAAATAATACCACGGTGAGTTCATCAGTTGATTTTGAAGACGAAATAGTAGTTTCGATTTCAGATTCCGCACTGTGTACAGGAGAACTGTGTGTGCTATTCAGCGGTGAGATTTTATCATACGATTCAACATCAAGTGTAGACGGACATGGAGATCTGAAGGACTGTTGTGAGGTTGTCGTGCCGTTGCTTTGCTTGACTTTGTCGATAGGACTAGGGAAGCCACGTATTTTTGTTTGATTGCCATTGTTGGTAGTCTGCGAGGAACTTAGATTGCGTAAATAGAAAACAGATGTGACAGGGGCAGATCGAGGTTTAGAGACAGATGACTGCGCGTCAGTAGTCTGCGAAACGGATTTTGGTTTCGGTCTCGCGGGGGGTGAATACGAGGAAGAGGGGATGGAATTTCTCAAGGGAATCCGTTCGACCTCTACATAGCCCTGCACAACCGGAGGAAATAATCCCTCCAAATCTGAGATCATTTGAACCAATCGACCGTTCCAGTTTGTTTTCTGACCGCACCGTTGGCCGAAAGGAGGGAGGCCTTCTGCAGCTAGCAGACGATCTGCATCCGCAAGAGGTTCTGAGAGTAGGTTGATATTCCAAAAAAACTGTGAGTTCGCACGCCGCCAAACAGGTTGTCTATGGACTGACGTATCCGAAGGATCATCAGGTGACGGAGAAATGCCTGTCCAATAAGATGGAGCCAGTTTCGACTGAGTCCAATTGGTTACGTCTCCACCACCAGGGGAAAAGTAAAAGAAAGAATCTTCTTCCAAACGCAGCAAACGAGCTAATTCCTACAACGAAAGAAGGCAATGTTGATAATTGGTGGTTTCACCGACCATCCTGTGTGGGACGTAAACTTGAGGAGAATCCAGAAGAACAACGCGAAAAGTTGTTAAATACATTGACCACGGTACATATCGGGACAGAAATTTATTCGTAGTGTGCAACTAGAAGCCGATGGAAGATGTCAGGTAAGGAACATTCAAGCCACTCAATCATGACACTAATTGTACATCTATGGGTCGCTAACCAAATATGCAGTGATTGGGGTCTGTAGAGTCTATCCAACGTCCGAAATGCATTCTCAGTGGCACGGTAGACCAGATACGCACGACAGTCCATAAAAGGTCACCTCTTGAACATATGCTAGTTTCTTCCGAAGAAAACTTTGAGATAAATGATGATGTGCCTCTAACATCAAATACTACGTGATGTCGTGAACCCGACAGAGGTAACAATGGAAAATTCGACAGCAGCGTCACACTCAGACACCGAGTCAATGCTGTCATAATGGCATTCATCAGAACCGTGAATGCACTAACGACGCACGACCGTGATAACAGCGAACAAGGGATATGGGTGTACAACATACCAAGGAAGAATACACCGAGAATCAGCCACATCACACAACATCGCTATCCATGCTCAGTGAAAACAAACACTGCATTCCAATCACCTAATGATGACAAAAGCAACTTTTTCACTCTCTTTAGGCACCATTTCAAACACCTCACCTCCATATTCCATCTCATCGGGCAGAACTGTGAATGGACTCGCTAAGACAGCAGATACTAGCGCTTTGTGGTGTAATCTATGCCACAATACATTCGGCAAAAGACTACCATGAACGCCTTCTCCATCAAACCAACGTGCTTAAAATAGTTATGATTTGGTGTCCGCCTCGTTTGTAATTTGAAGAGGGCAACCAAGTGTTCGACGTAGATGATGCCAGACGAGATCTGAAAACCTAGTATGGACGACGCGGATGAATTACTAATTGCCTTCTTTGAGAACAATAATTGCAAGAATGCTCGAAAGACTCTTTCGATCATGAATGTAAACGTCTGTTATATAATGCAAAAGTGGCTCGCCGGTGAAGCAAATCTACTAAACCAGTATACTCAGTTGTTTGTGCAGAACTCAAAATGATGGATGATGCCGTGGTAACGAGATTGAAGTGATACCGCTGTTCAAATTTTTGATAAGTGTCGTACTAGGCAGACCAACAGAGAAAGTAGACAATGCACCCAACGTGTGTGTATATTATCGCACATAAGCCAAATTTCAACGCTTGACGAGATGTAATGAAAAAAGAAAAACCTGAACAACAAAACTCCACTTCAACCAGAGCTATAAAGAGCCACGCTAAAAACCACGAGGTTAGTTAGTGTATAGGACATTAACGAAAAAACAATCAAACCTCCTGAATTTCAGAAAGGCGGTCGATCAATGGACTACTGGGAAGACGTAATATAGACCAACAAGCAGGTAACAAAATTTCAACTCACCTCGTGAATTCGTTTCTCATATTTTATTCGTTGACGGTTATGAGACTGTCGAAACGAAAAAATCAGAATCCTGCGTAAGCCGTACTACCCAACGACAACTGAGAACACAAACACCGTGAAAGTCAGGTATGGAGCCTAGTCCGTGGACTATACTGCTTCTGATCTATACTACTAACGAATATGTCGGTAGTACGAAAGCAAAACGCCTAAATGGAAAGCACGAGCGGCAGCAACCAGACGTCGAAACGCAGGCACCACTGCTAACACGCGACTAGAACAACACAGTTCCCGTTGCCACATTATTCCATTTGAACCATCCAATCGACTAGCAGTACGTGCCCAGCGGGTGATGGATTCTAGCCTTCACAACTAGTGGTACTGTTGAATGTTTACCAGAATCAATGGCCGCGCCAAGCACAAACGTGCCCCCCGCTCAGCAGAAATATGGTTACAATACAATAGTTTTCCTGTGAGAATGCAACTGAAGACTAAACCGAGCTGAGCCTTCAAAGTAATTCGGCGTCTAAAACGAAAAAACATCCTTGGCAGTTGGTTCGCTCCCTCAACTGGGCGATTAGGAGGCGAAATTCTCGTCACCGATTGAGATGACACCACTGTATTGTGCTGACAGCCCACATTCGACTGGAGAACAAACGCTGACAATCAACTGACCAGATCAAGAAACGCACAAAAAAACAACTATGTTATCTAGGGCGCCAATAATTATCGTTCACTGTTAAGTGTCATTGTGATTTTAAATAGTCAATGAGCGATTCCGGCAAGAATCGAAGAAAGTTGCACCCTAAATGGAGTGTGTGGTTCACCTTCGTAATACGCACGTATACTGGTCACTTGTGAAAATAACACTACATCAGCATGAGCCTCGTGTAGCGGAGGCAGGTTCTTACCACTTGCATCACAAGAAGGACAAGTTGATTTGGAAAAAGAACTAAATGACAAAACAAAAAACTAAGGTACATTCGAATATAATGAAGAAAACAATTTTAACTATTACGGACTCAAAGACAGAAGAACAGTCCCACTTTACGGCGCCACACGTTTGAACCATATTGATCACGATCTTGATCTCGACTGTATGGCACTAATTTTCAGAGTTAAAAATGAGACCATGGCTATTTGGTAAGACGTATTTTAGTGTTTGTTAATCCGACAAACCTGACATTCCTTCTTTGTTACCTCTGTTAAAAAATCTTCAGATGTCAGCTCCCAGAAAAACTGGGAAGCTTGGAAATTCCGTCATTTCTCTTAAGGCCATATCGGAGAAATAGATTCTTTCTATGTGGATTGGGTGCAAAGAATCATGAAGAAAACACCCACGACACGAAACATGTTGCTTGAAGGGCGATTATCCCTAAGAGAGTGCCATCCGTAGTGAAACCATTCGGCAACGAGTCAGCTCAAGAAACATCCTAGCGTGGCACGTAAAAGATTATCAGTACCCTACTGGAAAACAATTTGATGCATTTCTAAGTAATCAAATCCAGCTATTACTGGCAACGTAAGAATTACGGGTCTATCCTTATTGTGTTACGAATAACAACTATGGACTAATTGCGGAGGCGCTCACAGTTCAACTAGGAAATATAGCAGCTCCTGTGAAGATGTACGTGTGTGCCTGCCCAAACCCCTGTTGCGTAGAAATCAGGAAACGTTGGCCATCTGACTCGACCGCGTATAAAGCCCAAATTGTGCTAAGGTAAATTGGTGCAAGTCTCTACATTGGTGCGCGGACGTGATTTCAAAATCACGTGAATAGTGAAAGTCATCTGAACGGATCAAACAGTATTAAGGAGGCCAAGACGTTTAACCAACCAGTTAAGGCCAAGGAAATCAAGTCACACCGCAATGCGAATCGGGGACCGCCTAACCAGATCATATAGAAAAATAGGTATCACAATAGCTTATCGAAATGAAGGAAGATAAAATGCAAATACCCTAGAGCCTGTACTGAACAATCAGACCAGTGACAAAGTCTAACGGAACGAAGCCGCCCCACAAACTAATCGAATGCACGGAATGTGGACAAAAGTGCGGAGCAATTCGTAAATTGTCCAATGACATTAAAATAAGGAGGTCGCGTCCAAAACACCTTTCAAAACGAAAGGAACCAAGGAGGGGCAGCCCCTAGCCGCGCATTGACGATGTTCCGATAAATAAATAAATCGTTCAGCTGTAACACCCTTCATGATGTCCGGATTGTTCGGCATGAAAGTCTGCAAGTAGGCTGCCAAGCTCATCGAGCACATCAACAAACGCAACAAACACTAGGGAAGCGCATCGCCAAATAATGGACACGAAAATGCCGACAAGTGAAATCTCACCAGTTTATAATCCATAGCACCTGCAGCGTCTCGCAGGCGTCGCTGGACTTGGCGGATGAGGGGTCGTCGGCCACTCGACGTCAAGGGATTTGTGGATTTCCGCTTGCTAATTTCGGGATGATCAAGATTGCACGGCTGTGGATTGCGAAATGGAGAAATGCAGATGAGGAGAGTAAAGAGAGGCTAGATCGAGAGTTGGACATTTCACTTAGGTGTTTCGAACCAGCTGGTGCAGCCAAATAAACTGCCTAGGCTTACGCGTTGTCAATATACATTTCCCGCGAAATCAACTGTAGAGAAGCTCCTATCATTTGAAGCTGAGTGCTTCACGCAAACTAGCATTAATTGTGCATCGTTTCAGAATTGAGTCACTAAAAGAATATCAAAAAAATGAACAAACAAGTTCGTATGTCAGGAAAACTATAACGGTAATCTCACTTCATATTCCTTCCCCAAACATGAACCTCTCCCTGAGAAAAAAACGTTCAGCTGCAGCACCCTTCCGGTGCCTAATGGTCATGCTACCCGAAGAAAGCACGAGGGATGGGATACTGCCAGGTTGCCCAAGCCTAGACAGGGGAAGTCGAGAGGCAGGACGGGTTCGGACCACGGACCTTCCGGTCAGTAAATTCGCGCTCTAACCACTAGGGTCATCTCGCCCCTCCCCCCTCTAAGAGAACCACTTTGTGTTTAACCCACGAACTTTACCTTTGGATTGCTCAGAAAATGCTAAAATCCACAAAAGGGACCAGAAAATCGCGACACTTTTAAGTCAAGCACTTTCAAACAGAGGTCCGACTACTCATTATTCTGGGAAAGCGAGCAACATTCCGCAAGGCAACTGGTTTTCGTTTAGCTACGAAGAGTCGGAATGCCCATAAGCCAAGTTCAGCTCCACTTGGTATCTCGGATGCGCATTTTTGATAATGCCCATTCAGCCAACAACTGAAGTTTTTAGCTGGCCTGAAATACCACAAACCGAGAGATGTACCATGAAACGTGGCCTCAAAGTAGGTTAGTCCATTATTGTTAATCAAAAACATGAACTTTCGAGCTCCATCACTAGATGAACGCTTACAAGTTTTTGGCAGTAAAGTCAAATAGTCTAGATTCTTGATGATCGCGACATGAAAAATATTTCGTCCCTGTCTCTAGGGCTGAAGTTAAGATAGTTCAGTCGAGAAACCATGGCGGACACTACTCAGCTCATATACAGTTGCTGACGATTATAATGAATTTTCACTTGACCTCGGCTGAAATTACTTCCCGTACACTCTAGTGCCACAATGGAAAAGGTAGGATTGATTATTCTATCCCGAATGCTATTTCAAGCCTCATGAGGCCACGAAAGTCTAATTTATTGAAAGCAATTCTTGTTCAATGACGCTCCGAGGTAGCGTAACATCAAATGCGTCCTGTCACTAAGGTATATGATAGTCTGACAATTAAAGCATGGAAAACACCGACAAGTCGACAACTGAGGCTAGCTTCATCGGATTTCGAACATGGGTGATATGTTCCGATGGCAAGCACGACTGAGCCGAAAGTTAAACCTCTTAGTGTTAGGTCACATCTACCCATGGAGTTCTGACGATTGGATTTATGAATACCACTCTCATGTAAACAACGTTTTTGAGGCGGTGACAAATCTGAGAATGACCAAGTGAACAAGTCAAAGGAAAGCGATAGCAGACTTATTTTACACCCTCGGAAAAAATTGCAGAGCAACTGTTCCAGATGACGAGATTCCACGAACAAAATGGGCAGTTGGGCATCTGGTAGCACTTTATGTTCATTGTCGACTGTTTGAATAGTCGAAATTTATGTAACAGTGAGAATAAGGATGAAACAAAAACACATAGATTTCTCTAAAAAAAATTCGACTAGCTGTCACATATAACAAGAGGTTTCACTGACCCTCAGAAGAAGATGTCATATCTACTCGGAGGTGCACTGTAACACAAACCGCATAGAATAGCCCACTATAAGTGAAAATGGAGGTATTCTCTACCGGATAGACCTCTGATGGGGACTTCTGATAAGTCTATTGCGGCGACTTGCAAAGCCTACGGTTTTTGATCGATTACTTCAGAAGGAGAAAGCATTAACCAACTCAAACGCTCCTTTTTATACAGATACCAGAACCTATCACTTAAAAAAATCCTAAACCTCACACCTATTGATTACCGAACTCTCCCACGGGATAACAAAAAATCGGGAACGAATCTGACCACTCATTAGTAGTAAGAACCATAAACGGTTCTGAAATACGTGCTAAACCATACAAAAGCTGGCGAAATATACTTATTTGCATATCAGTTTGGATTTAACTGGAGAATTACCTGGAACCCAGCTGAATCTCTCGTTTATAGTGATTTTAAGCAGCTGAGTGTGCCATACCAGGTCGCCTCATGTTACAGCTGGCACGATAATCGGGATATTGCGATAGATTGTAGGATGGAATACACTACTCATAAGGTGGCTGAAAACTCTTGGACAATCCATTACCGGCTCAAACGGTAGGCGCGGTCTCCGAGTTTCCGTCAACCTTATGCTCTACTTGAACCCAAATTGCACGAAATCAGCAGGCAGCCTGGTGCAGCACATTCAGTTGCTCAAAAACGTCATGAGAAAATTCAGCTGGGCTCCAAGTGAGTCTCCCGTCACAAAAACAAATCGATATACAATGGGTATAGCTGTCGAATTTCGTGCAATTTGAGATAAATTAGAAAAAAGGTATGAAGGAAACTCGGGGACTGCGCATGCTCGATGAGCCAAAAGAAGGGCGAAACTGGTCACGGGCTGTCGAAGAGTTTTCAGCAACCTAATGAGTTATGTATTACGAGCAAAAGCTACTTGAATTCGTTTAATACCATCTTTTCTACAAAAAAATATGTAAGGGTTGTCAGAACAGGAGCCGGTGGCAAACTTGGGGACGCCCAGACCCTCAACATGGCAGCACAGGATCACACCAGCTAGGCCATCCGAGCAGTTGTGTGGAATTATCCCAGCGTTGAAATTATGCGCCAAAAGTATGTGTCGTGAAAATGGAGTGTATAATTGGAGGTAGATATAAACGTAAGTCACCTTGGTCAAAGCTAGGTATTAGCCTCACTCTGTGCTAGCAACTGATAACAACTCCGCTGTCCGATTATTGATCATGTCCATACCCCTGTACAATGTACTAAACGATGCATGATGCTGGTCCGACCTTTTAGTCATTTTGCGTCATATCCTTAACATGACGACCATCGTGGTGGAGGCGTAATTCCTAATGCGAAAATACGTTTGCCTGCGCCAATCGCAAGCTCATGTGTCCCAAAAAATACCTCCGCCCACATCTACTACCTCCACAATATGACCTAAATGGTTTGCACTGAGCTACTTGTCCAGACCGATAACACAGGATGATCTTTGAGAAAACATCCAGCCCACAAGGAAGACCAATTTAGCAGGAACGACGAACCACAGTCAATTATTCTAAGCACTTACATGTAGGACTTACACGAGAGACCACGTAAGAATACATGAACGCATTCAAGCACTGTCTGTCGTCAAGATTAGCATTCACCGTTTCCGTCTTTCATGACATTCGTGTTCATTTTAAGAGACTAATGAGATCGTAACATACTCCAGCAATCGGAGTAGGAGGAAACCGTGGGAAGTTAGTAGAAGCACTGCCACATGCAAACTGTTCAATAAGCACAGTAGTATTGACTGCACTCTCCAAAAAGATATCTCATCTGCTTTGTCAAGGTCAGGCAGACACTGGCCGTTGGATGTGTACAAGGAAAGGGACAGTTCTGTCAGTCAAATAAGGTCACATCGGAAAAACCATAGGATTTCGCCAAGGTAACCAATTTTCGACCATAAACATGCGACGAACTACTCATTAATTGAAACCGGTAACAAAAATTTGGGATTATAGTCAAATTCGTCAATCTACGAACGACTCGTGTGCAAAGCGACTGAAAAGGTTTCTTTATATTCAGTCGCACTGCACAACTCATTTGTTGAGCTGACAGACTATCTGTCCCCAGTTAAATCGTGTTTGGAAGTGTAACTCATACAAACGACGCTGAACAATATCCTTAGAAAGGCAGTGCAATGCCAGTAAAAACTACAGCTGCTACCGTATTACCTGAAGACACTTAATTCACGGAAACGTACGCTGTTATTACAAACAAGCATCATTTCTATGTTTATGGATGAACTAACCTTGATATTGATTAAAGATTGTCAAAAGACTGTGATTGCAAGCATTATAACGAAAATCGTGCAGGCCTACTTTTCAGGCATTCAATTCTTTAGGACGGCTAATTGGACGATCAGACTCATGCATGTATACACCAAACATTAGAAAACATGCCTAACCACAGTCACCACGGAAGTATTGGTGTAACATTGATACTACTGGCGAGGGAGACATACGAGTAGTATGTTTTCTTCCTGTAAATTCGCTTTGTGTCTCCTAAAAAGGGAGATATATTGCGGAATTCGTGGAGTCGCTTTGCTTGGATTTGAGCAACAGTCAATGAATATCCAGGAAAGTTCAAGAAGACGCGTTCAAGAGAAGATGGATGTTCAGTTTTCGTAAACAAGATGCATATGAGAGTTTTGCTTCCCTGTCCATCATCTTCATCATCATCATCAACATCGACAGCATGACATCAGTGTTCAACACCGATGCTTCACTGCCGTAGTCCAGTAGTCTGTAACTGGTCAGTTGGCATTTTATAATAAGGAACTCCGCAGCGAAGGCCTTTCTTCCTTTCATTGGTAGTGTTGAAATATTGGTAGCTTGAGTACATTTACTAGTTGTTCGTCTGTTCACCGAGTTTGGGGAACAGATCAACGACCCATTGCCAAAGTATACCTTCAGCACGGAGCACGATTTTAAAAGCATTAATTTGAAGAACTCACATCCCGGAGATAGGAGAATTATATTCCCATGATAGTACAACCATTCAATCAATTAGAGAGGTTCAGAACCGACTGAGATGTCGTTTGGGAATGGTATGGTAAACAGCTTATTCTTTAACAAATCGTGAAACAGTTGACCATTGTTCATGTCAACCAATATCAACCGAATAGCGTGTGTACCGTTAGGAAAAAATTTCGGGAGCTTCAGTCACCTATCGATTGATCAAGAACATGAACTGAGAGATGCTATTCCCGGAGAACACCAATCGACAAAACATGCGAGTTTTGAACGGCTCTTTGCGGTCACTGTCCGTGACTAAACATGGATGGTCAGTCTGCACAGGACGACAACAACTCATCCAGTGGCCAATCAACCGTCAATGAGCACAAGTGCCAAGATATGAAAAGGCTGGCGAAGTGAGATTTTATTGGTAAATTCAAACCACGGACAACGTGGTCAGGACCTCCGCACCGACCAGAATGAGCAACAAGGATGGTAACCACCGTCGCCCAAAACTACCCATGGAGGATGACAATTGCTCAAGTTGCAACTCCCTTATTCTGAGTAGGCACTGAATAGGATTGTGTGGGGAGAAATCCCATATATTTTACGCACACGCTGGCAAGTAGTCTGAATGGAATGAAGTGAAATGTCCCGGTCAGATTGGAACCATGGACCTAATAGCTAGGCGATCACGTCGTTGACCCATAGAAAATCTTGGGCACAGCAGCTAACGTCGGACAGAATGAGTCGTTGGGATACCTTCCAACCATAGATCAACGGAGCATTACATGAGATGTGGAAGAAGCAATATCAAAACTAATCAGAACTAATCACTGATTCATTTTACCGCGCATTACGGACATGAAGTAACGATTCCAAGCTAAAAAGTAAACCTTCATAAAACGGCTGATATATTGGCGCACCAAATTCCACATGGGCTTAACAAAGAAACGAGTAATTTAGATCGTACATGGACAGATAATACAGCCTGTTAAACTGTCACTCCAGAGCTTTCTGAATTGGTTTCTGGCGGAGTGCCAAAACGTCGTATATTTCCTGTTCGAATTTCGATCCTGGGAGGCCGATATGCCGTAAATCATGCGAAAGACTATTAATATGATATTAGATATGAAGGGTTCAATCAATTATCCATTTCCGACAATTCTGTTACGCATGTGAGCTCAGAAGTGAGGGGTGTTCAACTGCAACCCCCTTCCGGTGACTAGCTGCCGTGCCACCCGAAGGAAGTACGAGGGCTGGGATACTGCCAGGTTGCCCAAGCTTAGACAGAGGAAGTCGAGAGGCAGGACGGGTTCGGACCACGGACCTTCCCGTCAGTAAATTCGCGCTCTAACCACTTGAGCCATCTATTAGGCAGATGGTTTAGGCTGGTTCTAACCACGGCTCTGGTATGAGCGACCACCGCATCCTAGCGCAGTGACTCGAAAAATCGCACAAGTAGAGTCAAATCAATCAGCTCACAAATAAAGTAAAAATAAGAAGTAAAAGATCTGAACTCACGCAGACTTATGTGATCGGAAACCGTTGGACAAAAGTATATGCGGGTACTTCTAGCTGGCGAGCGAATCCAATACATACGGACGCATGGATTGGAGAGTGTGCCACTATTACCCATGTCCGTTCAAAAACAGGCTACCCGATCGATACAGACAAGCTCCAATGGATTTCAGCTATGTTCGGCACGGCTCGCGACACATTCGTTTGCCTTTTCCGGTACATCAGGATAGCCATTTCATACTTCCACTTCAAAGACCCCACAAAATCCTGGCGGGGTTTTTCTCTTGGAATTACACTTTTACAAAGAGATGTTCCCATAGAGAAGAAAAGTTTTGGGATAACGATTTTTTCCAGTACAAACCGCGCCCACCAGAAGAAAACATACATTAACCAACCGAAGAGAATCGCCTCCTTGTTCCCAACCCACTGATTTAACTACAAAAAACAGCAGGCGAGAAACGTCCGATGCCATCGACTATCGACTATCGTTCATGTCATAAATCCGGTCATGCACTATGATGCTATGTCAGCGGACTATTTTTGACCAGATTCGCTTTGATTTGACCGATATTTAAGCTTGGACACGCACAGAGTTATATCGCAAATAATGAAGCTGAGGGACACAATAAAACACATGACTATCAAATTATCCAGTTGCCAATAATTGTCCATTCCTTTCGATTGATAGGGCATGTTTTCATGCTTCTTATTCCAGGGTCGCTGAACGGAAAAGAAACTCCGATTTGTAACCACAGACGATTAGGCTGACAATCACTATGCACATCCTGTTACGGACATGGAAAGGTAGTGAATAATTACGGATTTGCTATAGACTGTATGGAGGTTTTTATCCCACTTTCACATCTAGATACATATGAAATTTCATCATTGCCAGCGTACGATCTTATTCGTATTGGTCACATCAGGTTGGTTAGTGGTCGGAGGTCCGAAAAACAGTCACCCGGTCCTCCCGGCTGTGGGTTGGAACATAGAGCGACTTGTTCCATAGAAATTGTAGTACATTTGCATTTCCCGCCGAACACTGCTGCCTTGCGGTTAGGCTTTTGAGCCAAACGTTTTCGTTAAGGACCCCAATCGTCCTCCTGTCTAGGTGTGAGCCAGTTCCAGCCCACGTAAACCATGGACAGCACATGGACTGCAACTTCCTCCTATCCCCATGACGAGACGCGTGATCCAGGAGAAGTTTTGGGATAAAAGGCAAGAGAGGAGGCTGTACTAACGGTTCTGCTCTAGCCCAAAGGAAAGGAAGATAAGTTTGAGGTACATTGCAGTTCCCTCAACACGTAATGGAGGATGTCGAGATAAAAGAGGATTCTCCAATAAATACGTGATAGTGTATCACCATTGGATATTGATAATTCTTTCACGCCACTAGACGACTTATTTTCCTGCGAAAAAAGCGAGCCAATAGACTGGTAAAATTATCGTTCAGCTGTAACACCCTTTTGGTGCCCAGCTGCCAGGCCAGGTTGCCCAAGCCTAGACAGGGGAAATCAAGACAGATGTCGGGTTTGAATCACGGACCTCCCGGTCAGTAAATCCGCGCCCCAAGCACTGAGCTATCTCTGGGGATAGGAATGAACCACAATCAGCTGCTTGAAACGACTTTGTTGAACATCAAGTCAACCTCCATTAGAGCCTCTGGAGGATGAATTCTTAACCGCACCGCCAGGACTAACTCCCACTCCTTCGGCAAGGACCCAGCTGCTTTAACTAGCTTTGCTCCATAGAAGAAGCACCTCGTTAAGGTCCAGAAAGGTTTGCAAACCAGTTCCCGAAATAGAACTCCTTGAAAAATGCCGCGGCTTAAATTGGATCGCCCATATCGCATCGACCATTTAGCAATATGCCACACAGCGCACCATCAAGTAAATGCACACATCATGTTACTTCGCATTGTCTGAGGTCACACTATGTATGGTCACACGGCCATAACAAGAGAATGCAATGTGTGAACCCTTTGGCCTAGCATTCTTGTGATTAACCATGGGACAGACTAAAATTTCACAAAACTATCGGCGATCATTAGTGAATAAACATATAAAAGAATGAAATGCTTGACACCCGATATTATACAGTTGTGTGGCTGTATGTCATGCCCGTTGAACACTTTTATATATCTTGTCAAGCAATCATCATGATCAACCGTCCGTTCCTCTTCACTGGTAAACGAATTTTCATTTTCACCTTCAAGCATACAAGTAAAGTACAACAGGAGCTACAAGGTCCGAGAGAGCCGTCTGTGAAGTAGCCTTGCCCTTACTCTTCGTTAACAGCTCCATCAGTTTTGGTGATATCACTGTAAAATAACGTACGTGGGACATCTAGCTACCATAAGCAATCCGAACGATTTGACCAGCGTTCTGCATATAAGCATCGGTGCTTTTTCCAGCCGAGAGAACCTACCAGTAGGGTTACAGTGGCAGATATACTTTAGGTGGACGATGTAGGTGGGACTAAAAAAGTGGTCCGTTAAGTAGGCACAAGCCCCAGTGTTTGGTTTCACGCAGGAAAGATATGTGTCGAGACAGATAACTAGTGCTGGACGTACCGCTTGATTCGTTTCATGATCTACTCAAAGTCTGTGTGATCTTGGTCACTAGCGTTGACCGCAATACAAGATACACCAGAAGGTTGATATGAACAGTGGCATCAATCAATGTGTCATTGAGAAAAACCGTGTACAGTAATTATGACATACATTTTAAGGCAGCTTGCTTGACAAGCAGGCGTGTGTATCTCACCATGCTGCAGGCGCACACCAAGAACAATAAAAGTATGTGCAACGATGGAGCGCTGATGTTGCGTCAAGATGGTATATTATATACGCTAAAAGAGGTCACGTGAAAATCACGTGCAGCCTCTTGGTTGGAGCACACAAGCGCCAGCTTGAAAATGAAAGACCGTGTCTGCTGGTCTTCCTCAAAACAGCTCAATTGAAAACGGTTCGGGTTGTACAACTCCCCTAACCTTTTAGTACATACTTTCTTGTCATTTTCAGTAAACATGCGATGTAGCTATTCCACAAAACATCCGAAATCAGCCTTTATTATGGTCAATGACGCGGCGCGGAAATATATTCATGTTTGCAACACTCGTCTCCATTTTTTTTGTTACTGGGCCGACAGCACCGGTTGCATGAAGAAACTTTTCAATGTGTCTTTCAGGTGAGTTGAGCACTTTGCGTGAATCAAAGCAATGAACAGACATATCACAATTTTGAGAGCTCTTTTGTACCAGGGAACCAGGGAGCAATATGGTTGATAAAAGCACTGGGGAAAATACTGAATGGACCTTGTTTGTTGTGTCCATTTCAGCTCCGATTCACTGAAAAACACTTTCTATCGTGAACTGGCCAATCTGACTACTCCGGTACAGGAACCCTAGGCATCTTCAAGTGGTTCATCACCGGTGCTTCCATAGCATCACCATCATGATCAGATCGTGTGGGTTGGTATCGGTGAATCCGTAATGGGGCAGTTTAAAAGCGCGTTTCCGGTTGTGCAACGGGTACTACCATTGAAGAATGTGTCCTGCACCAGAAGCTGCGTTGGTTGGGACATGTGTTGCGTATGCCAAACCATCGTTTGTCGGAGAGAGTGCTGTTTTGCATGCCCTATTCAGAATGGCATAAACAGAGAGGTCGCCAACCCTTGACTTGGCAGAGGAGTATGAAGGAGATCACGAAACGCTTGGGTGCTGTCGGTGCTACTTGCCTTCCAGGATGGGGACCGCGTGATCCTCACTGTGCCTGGTTGGAGAAAGTGCAAGATATGGCTGCCAACCGATGTCAGTGTCGGAATGCTTGCCTACTTCTAAAAGTACTGCCGCATCCATTTACTTCTTGTGGCACTCTTCAGGAGCGTCGAGCTTACGCAGGCGCACAGACTTGCATTATTATCAGATGAAAAATATTCCTATTGGACTAACCAAAGCAACTAAACAAAAAATGTCTTCCTTTTCCCCCCTAATATACTTCGAAAATTTTGGTAAGTAAACATACGCGAGAATAAGTGGTGGCGCTTTCGTATCCACAACGAACAAAGCAGGATTTGCTCACTGCCGATCCACAAATAGTCTAAACAAACGTATTATAATATAGCGGAACGAGAACGCGGCACCACAAGTACAGAANTTGGTCGGACCAACGACGCCTGCTGAACGATTCGACTTAAGATATTTTCACATTCCCAGCATAAAAAGTCATTTTTGACTGCATGACACATGAGGTCGGGGAAAAACTAAGGACCATAGTGTACAAGAAGCCAACCGAAACTGGAGCAGTTTTGAACTTCTCGTCTGCCCATCCGAAGTCGGTATTCGTCAGTATTGCCTCATCAATTTTTAGGCGTATAAGAGCCCTGTGCACAGAAGCTGATCGGACAGCGGCCCAAATCGAATTAAAGAACAAACTTCGGGTAGTTGATATCCAGCTTGCATGCTTAGGCGTCTATTGAGAAGAGTGCTGTTACCGGTAGCGAAACCAAACAGGGAATGGATCGGGACTGCTGTTATTCCATATAAACTAGGGACATCGGAGGTCATTCAAAGGATTCTAAGCACGGACAACATAAGAGTAGCTTTCTAGAGGGGAAACACTCTGCGCTCTGCACTGTTGCAACTGAAGGATCGCCTCCTACGAACAGAATCAGGAGCCGTGTCCACCAAATGAAGTGCAACGACTGCACCAAGGTCTATATAGGACAGAATCGGAGAGCACAGGAGAAAAAATAAACACTCCACCGAGATACGCAGATGAATATCAAGCGTTACTGAAAGACCCAGCAATTGCGGAACAAGGACTGGACACGGGACACAAAATAGATCTAGATGTTGAGGTTTTGAGGCGAGGACTACGGTCCACGTCACACAGACTGATAGCTGAGGCGGTAGAAATAGCCAAGCATCCCAGTGTTAACAGAATAGAAGGCATGAAACTGGCAAGAGTGTGGAGAAGGGTCTTAAATCAGTCGAGCTAACACACGTTGGAGTGCGATTATCATGAGAAGTAATCGTCATTTGGATTCCACTTAACCTTACCCACCTCCGCCTCCCCAATTTCATTGTCGCAACACTCACAAGCCCACGAAGACCGACGAAAATCTTCCAGTGGAACCCACAATGAATCATTAATTGGAGCACCTTGAACTGGAAGACGAAGGAACGAAAACCAATCAGAACTAATTTGAAACTCCTCCAACCAATCAATGCAAGATTTTGGTAACCACACCAAGCGACAAAAGACGTCAATCGACACTCAACACTGATCTAATGCGATAATCTGAAGAGATCTTACTGACTGGCTCTCCGTCTGCCTTAAAACCTGGTCAGTTGGGTAACCTGCTCAATCGGCCTGATGAGGCTTTTGCGTCAAAAGCGAAACGCTGCCCAATTAAAAACTACCGATTGTTTAACAAACCCTTCTGAAAGGTAGATACTATTTTCAAGGAAAATAATCAAGTATAGGCTACTGATTAGTCAAATTAGGGAACGGAGAGCTACAGAATGACGTCAAAAGACAAATATCAACTTACTCGAAGAGTCAAGTCACCACAGGGGGCGGTGGTTAGGGCCAAAGCACATACACGACTAATGCGGCGAATTTCCATTCCATCCGGAAGAAATCCCACGTGATCACTTTCTTCAATCAGAAACAGTCTCCAAGGGCTATCTGTAAACCGAGAATGTGGGGAAGTATATGCAGTCAGCATTAAGGAAGATGAAAACAGATACTGTAGCATAAATACGCATATTGTACAAGCACGGACACGGTGAATAAAATTCACGCACGTGTGTTAGCTGTCCCCTGTATTGGATAGTACAAGAGTAATAAATCACCTCAACCTAAACTTTTAGTAGGATGGCAAACATTTACATGTTGAGGGAATTACACGAGCAGCTTTTGATTCAGTATAAGCTTTCGCTTGCAATGAGATTCACCGCAGTTACAGTGAAAACACTACATAAGGTAAAACAGTCGAAGGAACCAAAACGTCCCTGTAAGTCCGATGTCCTTTTTTCCTGGGTTTCTGGGATATATCCAAAAAGCAATTTCGATGCATTCATCTCAAACGAACTTGGTAGTATAACGCGCAAAAATGTACTAAATGGAAAAAGTCAGCGTAAATGGCTGGCTATTACCAAACACGGACGTTCATTTTTCGGAAAAAGTTGGGTGGTGAAAATAAGGCAACGTCCTATTTGCGCCGTGCCCAGCGAAAATTCAACCCTACACATCTGTTTTTCCTTCGAAAACTTGATTGGCTTAATGTGTAACGGAAACTATGTTTCAAGGACAGACATAAACTGTTCCCATTGTTATTGAACAAACAGGTTATACTGGTCCGTAAGACGGCTGAATAATCACAGTCTTTGTGTCCATAGCTTGCTAACGGGTGGATATTTCATTCGCTTAACAGAATAACTTTGAACATATGTCAAAATAGAATCTAACCACGAGCAAACATCCGTGTCCCAGCCCCCCATTTCATATCTCAACTCCTTCATCTCCTGCAAAATTGTGTCAGAAATCGCAGAGAAACAGAAGAACGGAACATCAGAAGAGAACAGAAGAACCATCCTCAGGGATCTCTAATAACGTAAGTTCCCGTATTTATTCTCACCTGCTAAAGGAATCTTTTTATGCCAGCGACTTCCGTTTTCCAGAAGTTGAATGATTTCATTCTAGTACACTGCAGGTCTGAAATTTAATGACCATCTCTTTCCAGGTTTTGCCTCCTGCATTTTTCTCCATTAGTAGTGATTTGACGAGTTAAGAATGGTAATTCTTCCTCCTATCGATAGAGCTGTTACAGACCACAATGGTATTCGAGTGGAATTCGTCCCCTAAAAACTCAGGAAGACAGTAGCTAATTTAGGCCTTGAGTAGCATGTTTCACTGCTTGCGAAGACCGGGGTAAAAACCTATACTTGTCACATAAGTTCTGACCTGAGTAGCCAAAAACGCCTAAATTGGTTTCAGCTGATCGGTCCTGATGTGCCTACCGGAGAACACCGGTCTGGGATAAAGTGGATCGTCCTGAAGGATGATGGGTGTTCACTCGGTGGCCCGTCGCCGACAAAATACGATAGTGTATGGGCGCGTCAAAAACCTAAACCTGTCCGTCCACATATTCAAGGGTCTTCCACTGCGCTTTTTCTGTTTAAATAAAATCTATTTCAAGAATGTGGGAACGACAGCTATCCTACAGAGCAATTGGCTCATGGAACATAGTTGATAGTAAATTTTAGTAACCACATGTAGCTTACAAATCACGCGTTTACTATCGTACTTGTTGAGTGAGCAAGCAATGACATATGGCGCGGACGACAATCGTAGGAGCTGAAATATCGAAACCGCAACACTGCATAAAAGCACTGAGATGATGTGCCAGTGTGGCTTAGGATTTAGCTTTCACAACGACGCCCTACAACTGTGAAAGCCAATAACAAAACTGAGAACCACACAGTACTAAAACCTGAGGGCTTTATTGCACAAAACTAGCGCTCATCCCTCTCAGTTATGAGTAATCTATCTACCACATTTCAGGTAAATATGCGAAGGTGACAACGACTGAAGAGATTACCATAAACCGAAACATGCGAAATGAGCTGGAGAGTGATAACAGAACGGCCGATAATCTGTGCTTGAGTTTCGGTTCCAGTCCTACAAGAAAGACAAAATACCATGTTCTACCACCAGCTTCGGTGGGTAATCATTTGAATGCTAGCGTAGAGCATCATACGTTGGTCGTAAGACAAAGTGTTTGTCGAACAGAACACGAGAGCACAATTCCGTGTCTCTGAGTGACAGTTGGAAGAAACCGGGCCTAAGTCTGACTGAACACATCTGGTCAAAACTAATCACGTCATTGATGATAGAACAAGTAAATCGCGGCGAAGTCGGCCCACCGTAGAGCGGTCGAGCACGCATAAATGCTGAACTCGTCACCTCAGTCCATTAACCCAAGATAACGTATACTGCAGACACCTGCAGTACTACTTGATCATGTACGCTAGTCATGTGGGATAGAAGAAAAAGGGATCAAAAATAGCACCTACAAGTTACTACACACAATAGAACCACATGCAGGTTATGAGTTGCTAACTTGTGATAAGTATATGCCTATTCTGGAGACCTGTTAATGGATGTAACTGAAGTTTACAGACTATTCACTGGAACATATATTCAGTAGTGGAAGAATACGGTGTTTGATCCCCTCTTGATTGAACATCGCTCATGTGGAGAAACGTTTTTTGGAAACCCTGCAGCGACTAGGTGAAAACCTAGTCGTTTCCCGATAAGATGTTTACCTGGGTAATAACGGAGTTTTCCGATAACACCATCGACTTGACCCAGGCAAACGGGATTCCATTCCGAACCTATCAGTTCGGCTGAAAGAGACAACAGGAAAAGCACAAGTCAAACGAAAAACTACCAGCATAAATGGCACAGTTGTTGGCAGTCAGATGACAGATGGCTTCCAATTAACCATCAAGAACACCTAACCACAAGACACGTATAATGTGTTCTTGACAATTGACTATAATAGAATCAGGTGACGGAATCGATCAGTGTGTTTGTTAGGAGCATGATGACTGCGAAACTGTGGGTTTGGATAAATGCTCCAAAAACAATCACAAAATGAAACTCTACATGCAAACAGACGCAGATTTTGAAAGTCCGGAATCCTGGTTGATTGCTGTGCACAAAAACCGTCAATATGACGAAAAGGGATTCGCAAATTTCAGTGAGCAATCACGGCGGCTTGTGGCGATAAGAACCGCTAAAAGAGTCGACAAAATGCACTTCATCAAAGTGGCTTTTGAATTACAAATCTGCGGACAAAACGAGTGTACTTTATATATTGTATCAAAAAGTCATTCGGCGGTGGAACCCTTTCGGTGCCCAATTGCAATGACAACAGGAAGAATCACGCGAATTTCGATACTGCTAGGTTGACCAATCCTAGACAGGAGAAATCGAAAGGCACGCTCGTGAACAAGCACTCACTAAACACGCCACTTACTCGAAGTTGCGGAGCGTTCACGTACCGCGAAAGATTTACTAGTTCTGATTGTAATGTGACGGATGAGGTCAATGCATGAATCTGCAAGGCTTGGGTCGCGTTCGCTATGGCGTCAAAACGCTATATCCCTGAATCTCAAGAGGTGTGTGTATCAAGCTACAGTATGGGACGTTTTGCTGTATGGCTATGAGACTTGGCCTGTCCGAACAGCGGAAGTGAGACGTCTTCAGGTGTTCAACAGTCGTTATCTCAGAACCATAGCTCGTGTGGGTTACTGTCGGAGAATCCACAACGAGGCAATCAGAAAACGAGTTTTCGGTTGTGCAATGGGTACTTCCACTCAAGGGGGCGAGCTGGCTCAAGTGGTTAGAGCGCGAATTTACTGACCGGAAGGTCCGTGGTTCAAACCCGATCTCTTCCTCCCGACTTCCCCTGTCTAGGCTTGGGCAACCTGGCAACATCCCAGCCCTCGTGCTTCCTTCTGATGGCATGGCAGTTAGGCGCCGAAAGGGTGCTACAGCTGAACGAATGGACTTCTATTTAAGAATGTGTCCAGATATAGAATCTGCAACGGTTAGGACACGTGCTGCGTATGCCATACCATCGTTTGTTGGAGAGAGTGCTGTTTTCCATACCAAGCTCAGAGTGGCGGAAGCAGAGAGTCGGCCAACCCTTGACCTGATAGAAGGGTATGAAGGAGACCACGAAACGTCTAGGTGTTGTCAGTGCTACTCGCCTTCGATGATGGGAACCGCGTGATTCCCACTGTGCCTGGTTGGAGACACTGCAAGATATAGCTACCAACCGACGTCAGTGGCCTTCTTGTTGTCAGTTTCTATCCAGATTGCCTAAGTGAATGTCTGGAGGCGTAGGTACTTCGGAATGATTGTGGTAAGCTAGCACAAAGTCCCTCTCCCGTCCTTTATTATATTCTTTACAATAAAGCTTTCAAATAAATCATGGTTGTACGGCAGTGAAGCGCCGCTGTTGAATACTGATGTCATGCTGTCAATGATAATGATGATTATGCTCAATACATTTTCCCTAGATTAAAATCCCCAAGATTTAACCCTAAACCTTCATTGATACAAAATTTATAGATTTTGTTTCACGCTATGGGTCATTGCCCGTCATGCCAGTAAATGGAACAAACGTGTTATTTGTATCATTTTCGAGTTGCACCATGTCTTGGATTACGCTCGGCTCCCTAGAATATCGGTTTTTTGTGGCTATGTCGTGTGGAATAATAACCATCGGTTCGTTCAACCAATCGGACGGATATTTGAACCAACCGAGAAGTCACCACTCCAGAACGTTACGAAAAACCGAAAAACTCACCTAGTTTCCAAACATATCTGTAACTACCTTCCACATTAGCTAAGCGACATGTCGTTTCGGTTTGAATATAAATATTTCAAGAAAGCTTGTTTTCTGATATCAACCTGCATCACCACTCCAACATACAACACCAGTATTCAGCTAATTCGTTGTAACCTAGCTAGCTGAACGGGTTTCGTCTCTCTTGATGGCACACGACCAACGCGAACGAATTGCAAAAACCCACATGGTGTGTTCGCGCACTCAGTTGCACATATCCAGTACGATGACGATAGTTCTTCTAAAATCTGACGCGACCGCAATACAGACAGCAAAAAATGAGCTAAATAATTCTGCTTCACGGTTGGGCATGCGCTCCATACTTGTAAATTGTGAAGCGCTGCTGCAAGACTGGATGGGCTCATACACTAATGAGCCAATTGAGTTAGTAGACCTTTGTCCACCTGGGCAGCCGTATCTATGACGGTGTTCTAGCCAGGAATGATATTTCCATCCGGATTCGAAAGGCCAGAGTACTATTTCCTCTCCCTCACACACTTTCTTTTCACGATAGGGATTTAAATATAATTAGACCATCATCATCATCATCGACAGCATGACATCAGTGTTCAACACCGATGCTTCACTGCCGTACGGTTGTACGTGGGCTGGGATACTGCCATGGTGCCCACACCTAGACAGCAGGACGATAAGGGTCGCCAACCAAAGCCTTTGGCTCAAAAGCCTAACCGCAAGGCAGCAGTGTTTGGCGGGAAATGCAAATGCATTACCATTTCTACGGAACAAGTCGCCACATGTTCCAACCCCCAACCTGGAGGGCCAGGAGGCTGTGTTCGTCAGACCTCTAACCATTGACCAACCTGGTATGAGAGACCCTGTGAGTGTCGCGGGACACTCTCCAGTATAGCTCAATGGATCGCTGAGGTGTGCAAACCATCACACCACGGTAAGGTCCAGTCTCTTCCTGACGGACATAATTAGATAAAACTTGTTTGTACGGCGGTGAAGCATCAGTATTAACAATGATCCTGCTTTCTTTGATGATGATAACTATGATGATGATCCGTATGCTAGTTGACCGACTTCCTTGAAGAGCTCTTTTCGAACAATCACGCGAACGGTGGAGACGAACCAGTGGAGGTCAAACAATGACCTGGCAGCAGATTAAGCAATTACCAACAAACTCAGCTACTTTGGTCTTTGCCCTCCTGAGTGCGTACCCTGAGACGAGCGCTGAATGGCGCTCATACACACCAGCTGTTGCTTTCGATATAAAGCCCCCTTCCAATCTCGTTAATGAAAAGTCCAGTAACACCTATCTAAACGCATCAATTAAATCAGCTATCTCCTCCAACGCGTAACTATTTACCACATCTTCCCAAATCATCGACGGACGAGGCTGTAAGCCTTAACTACTGTACGGCGAGTACGCGGTTTTTACAGCTGATATGGTACGATATGACACGAAACCTGAAAGAACTCACAAGTGATGCTGGTACCCGGACTATAAACAAGCAACCGGTGCTGATGTCCACTGTTATGGAATCATGTTTGGATCGACTGATGGCTTGCAACAGGCCCCTGCATATTCGCCCGGCCGCCCCATATGGCACAAACGCATGCACGAACTAGGGCGATTACCTGGTGGACGCTCGGAGACTCAAGTAAGATGGGAAGAAGGTTCATACGAGGGAAAGGCTTATACGCACAGAACTGCAATGGTCGTACAATGTTGTCATTTCGTTGAGTGTCAACAGGGTGCCCCTACTGCAACTATGTACAGAACTCATGTTATCTGCACCTTAAATAGTAAGAAACAAAAGATACTCGGGTAGCTAGGCAAATCACGAAAGTCTGAATTAGCTAAATGAGACCATTTACTTCTAATAAGGCTTATCAATAGGATGCTGTTGGATTCCGGCCAACGTGCGACCTGGGTTTAAAAATATCGAAAACGAAGACACCGAAAATTCTTAAGCGAGTTCCCCGACGAAAGCACCAAACATAAGCTACCTAGCGGAGAGAACCAATTTTGCACAACAAAATTATTGGCTGTCAATTTGTCGAAATATGGGTAGGTTGGGCGCGTTTCATCATGATCATCAAAGACAGCAACATCAGTGTTGGTACTGATGCTTCACTGCCGTATGGTTGTACGAGGGCTGGGATACTGTCAGGGCGCCCACACCTAGACAGAAGGACGATTAGTGTCCTCAACCAAAGCCTTTGGCTCAAAAGCCTAACCGCAAGGCAGCGGTGTTTGGCGGGAAATGCGAATGCAAATCCATTTCTACGGAACAAGTCGCCACATGTTCCAACCCCCAACCTGGAGGGCCAGGAGACTGTGTTCGTCAGACCTCTAACCATTGACCAACCTGGTATGAGAGACCCTGTGAGTGTCGCGGGACACTCTCCAGTATAGCTCAATGGATCGCTGAGGTGTGCAAACCATCACACCACGGTAAGGTCCAGTCTCTTCCTGACGGACATAATTAGATAAAACTTGTTTGTACGGCGGTGAAGCATCAGTATTAACAATGATCCTGCTTTCTTTGATGATGATAACTATGATGATGATCCGTATGCTAGTTGACCGACTTCCTTGAAGAGCTCTTTTCGAACAATCACGCGAACGGTGGAGACGAACCAGTGGAGGTCAAACAATGACCTGGCAGCAGATTAAGCAATTACCAACAAACTCAGCTACTTTGGTCTTTGCCCTCCTGAGTGCGTACCCTGAGACGAGCGCTGAATGGCGCTCATACACACCAGCTGTTGCTTTCGATATAAAGCCCCCTTCCAATCTCGTTAATGAAAAGTCCAGTAACACCTATCTAAACGCATCAATTAAATCAGCTATCTCCTCCAACGCGTAACTATTTACCACATCTTCCCAAATCATCGACGGACGAGGCTGTAAGCCTTAACTACTGTACGGCGAGTACGCGGTTTTTACAGCTGATATGGTACGATATGACACGAAACCTGAAAGAACTCACAAGTGATGCTGGTACCCGGACTATAAACAAGCAACCGGTGCTGATGTCCACTGTTATGGAATCATGTTTGGATCGACTGATGGCTTGCAACAGGCCCCTGCATATTCGCCCGGCCGCCCCATATGGCACAAACGCATGCACGAACTAGGGCGATTACCTGGTGGACGCTCGGAGACTCAAGTAAGATGGGAAGAAGGTTCATACGAGGGAAAGGCTTATACGCACAGAACTGCAATGGTCGTACAATGTTGTCATTTCGTTGAGTGTCAACAGGGTGCCCCTACTGCAACTATGTACAGAACTCATGTTATCTGCACCTTAAATAGTAAGAAACAAAAGATACTCGTTCGGCTGTAGCACCCTTTCGGTTCCTAGCTGTCATGCCACCAGAAGAAAGCACGCGGACAGGGATACTGCCAGGTTGCCCAAGCCTCAATAAGGGAAGTCGAGAGGCATAGGTAAGGCTCGAACCACAGACCTTACGGTCAGTAAATTCGCACACTAACCACTGAGCCATCTCTGCATCTTAGTTGCAATCAGCCGGCACATACTTGAATGACTGTTTGCAAAACTGAGAGTAGTGCTCAGTTGTACAGTACCGATCACGCATTGATCGAGAGCTCGCCAAACAGAATGAGCTCAACCGTCACATTGAAGGCAACCTCCATGCTTACAGAGCTAGCGTTTGTGACAGCTTGACCTTCGGATAAGCGGTTTGTGAGAGTTAGTCTATGATGGAATTAGGGTTAACACCATTTTGGTGTCATGCAGACGAATTTTCGAGGTAGCAAAAGCCAATACTCCAAACTTTTATGTTCTGAATAAGCGCAATTCGTAAGCCTTTCAATACCGAACCACGCACAATAGAACCTGATGCGTAACCAGCATAATTCTTTGATGTCAAAACCGAATAAAGAGCTCGTCTTGATGGAATCCTTCCAGATCATCTTGTCAAACACGAACAGATCTGCAAGGTGAGAGGGTGAAATATGAGTAGCGGTTGTCTGCTGTTCAGTTCGCGCGCAACTGCCTCCCCCACGATGCAAGATATTCAAACCTAGCCGGTAAGCACTAAGTGGTCTGGTTTGGTAGCCGGTTGGCGAACTAACACCCCTTAAAAATATGTACTTCTGATACCGGCCGCGTATAACTCAAAACAAGGCATTCGCCGAAAACTCCTAAATGACGTATGTCAACTTGATCAACGGACCGGATATTTGGTTGTAAAATCGCAAGAAAGACGAGCAGGAATTACCCAGCAGAGGCCGAGGAGGTGTCTCTTCCTAGAATATATCGATAGACGTTGAGGAGACCAAACCAGAACAAGTAGCACACATCTAAGGTCAGATTGAAGCATTTTGAATCATTTCGCCCTGCGAATTTTACTGTAAACGTCATCCACTATACTCGGTCCTACCATGGCACTACTACTATAGACACACTAGCAAAACGGTGAACTTCTTGTGAATACACTACAGGCGTGTGCGTGAACTCCCGAGGACCGCCTAGAAGAATGTTCGCAACAACTTGACAGTGCAGGGTCGAGATCAACCTCGACAGCCTCATGAAGACGTATGTACATCATGAAACCACTGACTCAGAAGACATCGAACATACTGACTAGAGACTACAGTCCACCACACTATAAAAAATTGTTCAGCGGTAGCATCCTTTCGGTGCTGTCAAGCCACCAAGAGGAAGCACGAAGGCTGGGATTCTACCAGGTTTTCGAAGCCTAGAGGGAGTCGAAAGGCACTGCCACCACATCAGGAAAAGTAGACATTCCACCAACATACATAGAATAGGTTCCGGATTTTGAGATATAGATGCCAGGTCTATTGTCATCTGAACAGCTTACAGGGAAAACCGCAGCGTGGCCGATACCTTGTATTTTGGAAGAAATCATGGGCCAACATGGAGATTTGCGTACCAGCGGCGTTTTCTGGGCAACATTGCTCTTTTTAATGGTGAACTTCTGGCCCTTGTACGAAAAGATAAAGACAAAGCAGCAGGGAGTGAAGAGTGAAACCGTCGGAACACCAGACATATTGAGCTGACTTAATCCGCCCGCACTGTCGGATCCGGTGTTCATTAACTCATCTAACCCTTTTCACCAGTAAGGTTTGAGGGTTCCATGTCTCTAGCGCCGTCACAAGGCCTGTGCTCCAGTTCGGTAGTACTAAGTGGTGAATAGGTGTCCACGTTCTCTATCTGATATATTAAAACTATTCACGGTACGGTGACACTCGCAAAGTCATGACTTCACTGTGGGGTTCGGTGGTATTTCGGAAGAGCTAAGTAAACCATGCCCTGATGGCACCACCACCAATGCTCCGTCAGCCCACGTGCAACAAAACTTGCACAGTTGTGCCGCGACGAGGAGATAGGCTTATTAAAGGTTTGTATAATCTTGTCAGTTTCACCGCACACCGTATGTTGNGACTTCGCTGTGGGTTTCGGTGGTATTTTGGAAGAGCTAAGTAAACCATGCCCTGATGGCACCACCACCAATGCTCCGTCAGCCCACGTGCAACAAAACTTGCACAGTTGTGCCGCGACGAGGAGATAGGCTTATTAAAGGTTTGTATAATCTTGTCAGTTTCACCGCACACCGTATGTTGTTGATAGGCACCCGGTCCAAGAGTGTTGACCTCACGCGTTGGCTGATGCTGGTCCCAAAGCAAACAATAAGTAGTCAAATTAGTGAAACAACGTAAACAAAATGTTGTTCAGATAGTTTCTGACGATGCATTCACGTAACTAAGCTCGGGAAGGTTTCAGACAGATGAAATCCACGTTGCGACCTGAAAACTTGTCTGAGGGTTGCCTCCTGTCCAACGGCTCAGTATCCGGGTTCTGTAAAACGCTAGCGTGAAGTCACCAAAACGAAGTTTCTTTGATTTCAAAATTGTATTACATAACATCACCACCAGGAACAAAAAACTGAGGGACGCCAGTTGATACAGTTCTTCGTTTCCGCAACAGGCTGGTAATACGAAACATGCTATGGGTAACCTCACGTGCCTATGATTGTGGGTTTATAAGTTCTTTCGTTCAGCTGTAGCACCCTTTCGGTGCGAAATGCCATGCGACCAGAATGAAGCATGAGTGGGATACTGCCAGATTGTCAAAGCATAGGCAAGGGAAGTTAAGAGACAGCAATCAGGTTAGAACTACGGATTTCCGGCTAGTAAATTCGCGCTCCGGAACATTGGGCCATGTCGCTGCCATGTAGGTTCTAGGTCCTAATCGGTTCATTGAACAACTTTTCCTAAAACCCTTCAAACACTTGGTCAATTAGTGGATGTCTGGACTAACCCGCGTCCTTGCAAAATGTTTCGTTCATACCAGGCTTCCAAGCCCTCCATATTCTACTGATGTTCAGCGACACCCGTCAAAGATACGTCAGAGATGCTACTATTACTGCAGTTCAGCGTTTTGAAATCCTCGGACAAAAGCCTTGAAGTACTGTGTCATCATCAGAGATGACAGTAACACAAAATGAGAACAAGGATGCCTCACTGTCATACAGGCATGTCAACTTATCCGAAAAAAGCCTAACAATAGAAAGAAAGGAATTCTGGCAGAGAAGGAGTGGCCTACAACAAACATCCAAGGTGCCTACGCCTCCAACACTCAGTCAGACAACCCGGATAGAAGCTGAAAACATGAGGGTCACTGACATCCGTTAGCCGCCATATCGTTCATTGTCTCCAGCCAGACATAGAGCTATGTGGACTTCATCCTAGAAGGCTAACAGAACCAACAGCATCAAAACTTTTCGTAACATTCCTAATTTCCTTCCGTCGAATTCCATACGCCTATAGGTTCCTGACGCTTCAAATTTAGTACGGAAAACAGTGCTCATCTAGGCGGGCAGTAAATCGGCATCCGTAATATTAATAATAAAAATCATCCAGCTGTAGCACCCAGCCTAACTGTCATGCCACCAGAAGAAGGAGTGAGGGCTGGGATGCTGCCAGGCTGCCCAAGCCTAGACAGGGGAAGTCGAGAGGCAGAGGTCGGATTCGAACCACGGACCTTTCGGTCAGTAGATTCGCGCTCTAGCCACTGAGCCATCCCTCCCCTCATGCGTAATGTATGACCCAGCCACACTGACTGGCAGTACTCAACCAATTCCTAAGGAAAGTATCCTCTGAATCACCAAAATCCTATCTACTAATTGTCTCATTTCGAATTTGCCGGCTTCAGCCGATTGTAGCTATAATTCTGAGACATTGGTGGTCAGACCTGAAGATATCTCAAACCATTCGCTGGAAGTGGCCAAGTCCCGAAGCTTTTCAACAATGCAGCCCATGCTGTAGTCTGACACGAGTTCTTTGAAACCCAGTGAGATGCCTGTTTAACATCAAAAGTAGCACAAACTGGAAAACGCAATTATGGTCTTCGAGATTCGTGCGTTCTCTTCGCCTGCCACCCCACAGTCAGAGTTGATGCGACTTCCGGAATACGTATAGCGTCCCACAACCACACGTCACTTTCAATTTTTGGAGGCACACCCAAAGACTACACTATCATGCGGCATTTCGATGGCGCGAAGTACATACCTAAGAACAGGATAACCTGGGCCAGCCTTTCAAATAATGCTTGAGCCCCCTGCTTTTTTTCAAAAATTTAAACAACGTCGTCAACGTATTCCGTTGAGTGTGTGGGGATCAGAAGAAGCACACCTGATGTCGTTCGTGCCTTCGCAATTGACCCTAACCCTTCGCTTTGACGGCTGACATGCGCAGAAAAACGAATCCCGGTGATACATCTAATGATGTGTGTCCTTCGGTACACCGATGAAGTTGACAAGTGATTAACAGTCATCGCGAGGTGAAAACTACGAAGCGGACACAAACCTCGTTTGAAAAAGTAAACCATTCAGGCAGTGTTATGGAACTAAAACGTTCAATCAGGTGACACAACGTGGCGCGTAGACGTAAGCTTTGCGGCGCGTGCATTACAACTGCCACTGTGTTGTAAGTAAACACTTGGCTCTCTTATTCCCGCAAAAAATGATGAGTTGTTGATTGGATTATTGTACCGGCGCTAACGAGAGTGGTGGGTGGGACGGAACAGGATTCGAGGTATTTTGCCAGTGAATCTGCTCGAGACGTATCACTGACGTCAGTATCATCAGCAACAAACACAAAAGGGAGGTCGTCCTGTTTGCGAAGTAGGAGACTCACAGATTTGGGAAGTGAACTACGTCTGCCACCCGTGTCGTTTTAGATGTTTGTCTTTGCTGTTTTTTCATATCGGTCATTACATTCGGGCACATTTTTGACCTTTGTGAATTTATATTCGTGGAGTCGGTGACAAGCGAGCTCCACATTCTAAGACAAGCTCATTGACGACTGCTATGAGGAAATTTAACAGGTGTTGGTCTCCTTCGCTGGTACGTAGATCTGGGACAACGGCTGCAAATTGGTATCCAACGCTGGTTCACCGTCCGCTCTTAGTGAAACTCTGGAGATAGCTCATTGGTTGAAGTACCAACTTACGGGCAGGGGTGGGTGTGGTTCGAGACCGACCTCCGTGTCCCGATCGTTCCTGTCTAGGCTTTGACAACCCGAAGGTATCTTGAACCTCGTTTTTCTTTCCGTTGGCATAGTAGGTGGGCCCCGAAAGGTACAACTGAACGATTTTTGTTGTTCACCAACTCCATGGGTTACTTTCTCATCCATTTCCATGACTTCCGCCCCACCCTCATCAGATGATAGATCTCCCCGATCGGTGAAAAACATATTAGGCACCAAATAGCTTACCGGTGGATAACATATAATACGAACATCCATGATGGTTCGAATGCATGGTAGCACCCACTAGTTGCGTTGCTTGTTGTTCCACAGGCACCTGATTTCGACATGCACTCCTCTGGCCACTTCTCAGGCAACCAAATGTATCTTCAGTAAAGTGAAAGCTAAATAACATGAGTGTCTTTCCAAAAATCAGATCCTACAGAGACAGATGAAAATGATTTCGGAGCTCTGTGCAGAAGGTGTGTACTTTAACTGCCAGGAGCTTAAAACTTTCGTCTGAAGTTCCTTCCCGTCCGCGCATGTAGTAGCATACATTCGAGCACTGATGCGATTCATATTCGTGTTTAATAGCCTACATTTGTGAATTCCGAGGCTGCAGGTTATCTAACTTCTATTCACTTCATTCATTACCCAGTATGCGCACATAATTTCCAGTTCCGTCTCCTTTTGCCACTCAGCGACCGGGGGGAACTCCAATCTGACGGTGATGACTGCTAGCGGATTAACGTCTAGTCAAGACGTTTGAAAACCCATGAGTCAATTCAGGTGGCTTACACGACACGGACTGTTCACATTGAAAGATATCGTTCAGTGAAATTGCATTCACAATCAGGGTGGAACAATATTTGCAGGACACATAATGCGGACTCACCATCTTTTATGCTGAGCTTGCCTGACAGCCGGTCACAGTACAGTGCCCTGTTGCCGTTCCTGACGATAAAGTTCCCATTTGTCTCGAGCACATCCATTCCACTTACTATTTCGAAACGCGCATCAGACGTGCTTGACCTACAACAACATAATACGAGCAAATTAAACAAAGAGGCTCAGCCCAGCTCAAATTGCAGAACAATCCTGACAGTGTATGAATTCCGATTTCTAAGGACGGTGATACGAGGTAAAGCCAGAACTGTGAAAGATGATATTTCAATAGATCGGGAGGCAGAAAACATCTCGAACCAACTGTGGGACAAGGTCCCATAGCTTCGATGGACCACAAACCCCAGACATTTATGCATACGACGAAGGGCTACCTTGAGACGCTGGAGCGACAGTTTACAGTTCCGCAAAGCCACGACTGTAACGATAAAAATTTCGCAAGCTAGGCATACCCAATATGTCTCAGCCGCCCGGATGGCCTCAGATGACAGTGTTTAGGCGGAACACTCCGTTGGACCCTTCTGAAAGATCCTAAACCAGGGACCAGCAAAACATTCTCATTAGATCCCATCAGCGTAAAAGCAATGGGAACCCGTTGCAGAGGTCTACGATACTCCAGGGAACAGTGGTCAAGCACCGTGAGACGCATTTCATAATCAACGGCCTAAACGCCGGCAACACTTTCCACAGAGGTCCGTTGGACACACTCAAATAGGGTTGCATCCTAAGTAGACAATTTGGCTGGCATGTTTTATAATCCCTTTGACGAAGACTCGATAGTTTGTCTGGAGGTTCATGCGAGTAATACGGGGAAGGTGCGTCAAGCCATCTGTAGAAGACGGATGTTTTGAGTCGATATTTTAAGGCTGTGACATTGTAACTCATGAATACAAAGTCGTCGGCCTGAGAGAACTCTGAACGATTATTGACATAGATCAGAAACAGAAATGGTATCCATGTGGAGCCTTGAGGTGCGTGGCGTTTTTTACCTTTATTTTACTTCCATTATAACACTACGTATTTCATCAATTGCGTAATCGTTTTTTGTTTAAATACGAAAAGCTACAAAAAACGCGCACTTGTACAATTACATAGAATACAGGCGTAATCACATGCTTCGACTCTCTCTTCTGACTTCGCTCGCGCTTGCAGCGGTCAGTCGCGAGTCTCATGTACTAACTCTGGTACCAAAACATTTCAGACATCTTCGGAATCTATTATGTGGGAACTGTTCAGAAGAAGGCCTCCGGACCAACATAATTGGGTTATTGTTTATTCGCTGACCTGGGCCAACGACGAACTATTTTAAAGAGAGCAATTGTTAGTGAGTCTGTTCCGTCTGACCTCTTTATTTTTGTATACCCAACCTAGCGTAACCATTTTTATTTCTTTGCCACACACTCCTGGTAAACTAACTTATTGGGTAGCCAGACCACTACAGGTGTAAGTGTTGAAGCAGAGCCCACGTCCACCCAGAATGTCCTCACTGGTAAAAATGCCCTAATCCAGCGAGAGTTTTTTTTAAATCCCATAAGACACGAGCCTGTGGACCAGCGGAACGTGTGAGGGGCGATCGAATGCTTTTGAGAAGTCCTTCATCCTTAGCTGTCCTTAAATACGAGTGAATTTATCGCACTTTGAGTTTTCCCTATTACATCACTCTTACTGGGCACTCGTCAGACTATTCATCAACCTGACTGACTCTCCCCCGGTCCCTGTTTCCTGCGTAATGAAGCCTCTTTATGCAGATTATCTGCCTTGTCGATTAGGAGGCTTCCAGTTAGCCCACGTTCTGTGTGCCATTGTGACTCACGATTTGCCACTCCTGTCTGTACTTCTGATGCCAGTATAGTTCCCATGACTGACGGAGCCTCCTTGCCCCAAATCTAGAGCTAATACGCCGGTAGGATAGGCACATTATAGGTTCCCAGTTCCACCAACTTGTGACCTCACTGAGTTACGTTTATTGAAAACACCCCTACCCAAAATTTGGCCAAGGAGTATACATCTCATCTGTCATCCTGTAAACCTGCATCACTTGTTTCCTGATATAAGCATCGCACTTTTCTTACTCGTCCTTATTCTTTATTCATTGTATGATTTGTATCCATTTATGGCCGTTTCAAGCGTGCTGCATGGCCAAAACTCATTTATAGTGGGCCTCTGGGTACAAAGCTTTCAACTGGTAACTAAGGGGCTCTTATGTTAGTCCTAACTTGTACTCGAAACGTTTGTGGTATCTTCTTAGCTTAATTCCGAAGACCGAAGCGGTGTGATGAAATTTCGTGACTAATTGGAGCACACACACAATCAAGACCGGCAGGCTGATAGTGACCTTACGCCTCGACGCCTTCCTGACGTGGTTTCCTGGCACAGCCATAATTTGTCGGAAATTCTTGGGCAGGTTTCTGCCTTCTTCGGGACTTTCCATCCACGATTTACATTTGTAAACCTGAGTCTGCTCCTAACCGCGACTTGAAGTTTGTAGCCCCGGCGGGCTTACTTAAATGCTCGTCTTATCGGTAAACAAATAAATTCGACCTAATATAAATTCCATCAGTGTTTTCACGCGCTATTTCTACTGTGAGTTAATCCTATTTGGCTGCACATTTCCTTAACGTGATGCTCATGGCAGTTTGTCTATGTAAGCGTTAACCCAGATCACCCAGCCTGACGAATCAAATGCAAACAGCAGTTCACCGTGAAAGCGCAGGCAACTGTACCGGCAAAAAAGGACGTAACTGTTGATGCTCATTCCAGCCATCACGATAAATAATCCTTCCCTCTGTTCTGTTCCCTCAGTGAAACAATGCGGATTACTGGCCAGCGAAATCCCGCTTTCCTTGATGAGTCTGATTTGCAGAAGTTATTAGCTGTATGGAAAAATCACGACACACCTGTGTACCTCTATTAATAATGCCTAGACTCAAGTAGGCTCAACTACTCAGGAGAGGCACGATTTTTCAGGCCGGCTACACGTGGTTCGCAACCACTCTCATTACAGTTCTTTGTCACTAATAAGCGTTCCTTCAATACTTCTCAATTTTGTAACGAAGTACAGGAAGGTTACTAGGAAACGCAGCTCAGTCCCACTGTCAACGATCGATGTGTGTCATCACAACCGCATGCGTTTTTACTAACCTCGGCGGCACCCAGTACCCTATCTATACACCAAGACAAATATGCTACTTTGCTTATGCATGATGGCTCACCCAGTGGCCGACAACGGTCCTTCATCATCATAAGCCGCCAGTGTTTTCCTCCGGGCATGTTCGGAACCACACTTATCGAATAATCGGCTTTTGTGCAATTGATACAGTAAAAAACTAAAGAGGTAAAAACTCCGTCCCCCTGTTGATTAACATATTTGGAACCCAAAGACGATTTTGGACGAATGTACATATCAATTTAATTGTTGTGATCCGTGTATGAAATGCATTACCATTACAACACCTATACCAATTGCTTCATCAGGCGCACTGGCATTCGAAGTACCGATTCTTCAACTTTTACGACCATTCATGTGTAAGGCAGTTTTATACTAAGAATGACTCACATGGATTCAACTTACCCGACTGTTTATCCGCCGCTGGTTTTGAAAAAAGGGCCTAGATTGTGTGTTCAAACTACTGTATGTTGGTGTCACTGCAGGAAAGAATTAGCTATTTAGTGGAAACTTGAACGCGAATTTCACTGGTTCGAGTGCGTACTGCAGTTCGAAGTATATGCATAAATATATATATATAACCCGAACATCTCTCCAGACACCACCGTTGTTTTCACTTCCAAGCCATCACCAGCTGAAGGTCTGCGGGAGAGAGAACAGAATATGGAAAAGTAAAAATAAAACAAACCATCGCAGCCGAACTCTGTGGGGTAATCGCAGTGGCCTGACAACTGCACAGTGAAACGAATACAAATGTGCGTCTCTGCGACGGTAAGAGCTTGCATTTTTTGCCTGAAAACACACCAGCCCTCACCAAGAGCTGTTGTTGGAATATAACTGGTACCGTTTAAAGGGATTTAGGCTTGTGAACTCCTGTCTTGTTTCGGCAATTTACACTTTCGCAAACAGCATTAAATTGCGCGAACATGAAATAAAAATCTCCAGGTAATCATGCAGATAATGCCGCAAAGAAAACTATCTGCATTAACTTTAATCAGGCCTTCTATTAAGTGGTAGCCTTCCTTCGAAACATACTCCCGGCTTCCCTAACCTAAAGGGGTCTTGTTGGCGTGTGATCCAGGCTTTCATTTCGGGAAGACATTACAATTGAGTGAGTGGTCTTAAATCATCCTGAGGAATTTCTTATTCGGGAATTGAACGGGTCACCGTTGCAGCATAATTCGAGTGCAAGACTTGAAACACTTGTATATATACCCGAGTTTTAACTATTGCTTTAAATTTCATGCCAGGTTGAGCAAAAAACTTGAACTTAAATGGGCTTAATGATCATAAGTCAGTTGAGTTTCCAAGACCTATAAAGACCTGAGCCCTGGTTTTCCTTATTGGAAGACTGCTTACTAGCTGAAAGAATGTGATCATAGCCCTCCTGGCACATTCCGTTCTATCGGCGTGGTTCATAAGCTTTCCAAATTACCCTTTGCGTTCTCAAGATGGCTCTTTTTCACATTTTCAAAGCGAACTAAATTCCCCCAACATATATGACTCATCTGGGTGCATCGCTTTCCAGAAAGGCGTACAAATCGTACCATAGACTACTCTGACATCGATTATTGAATATTTATCCATTTCTGTTCATTAAAACACGCCAAGTATCGACTGTAGTGTGTTCTCCATTACGTCAACATTTGAAATTCTCCACGTGTATTCTGTCTCTATTTGTAAACCCGCTCAAGTTTCTGTTTAGTACGTGTACATTTACCGACTTTTGTTTGTCCCTACCACTTCAGTCGTTTGGCCTTAATGTCTGTATAATTCGTGAATTAGTCATACATTGATGGTAACTTATAGAAACCCAGCTCCGACTTTGTTTTGCCTTTCCGAAGGTTCTGGTATTGCGAGTCACTCGAGGATACCAAATGCAACCACAGCTTGTTACAGTGGTTGCATATAATCTGAAGGCAA